CAAGCAGTATGTGAAATAAGTAAAGTTTCTCTTTAGGAATTTAATGATTCTTTCCAAAATATAACCAGGCTCTTTGTGGTTTTCCCATTGCCTCCCAGAGGTCTCCAGCCAAGCTGTTGTTCACACCTGGGCAGCCTGCAGCCCACAAGTATTGTAGATCTCTGCTTCCCTTCAGGTCCTTCACAGTCTCTCTCTTCTCTCCAAACTTTTGCTCCTTATCTAAACTAACAGTTAAAAATCTCAGTAACTGACCCACTAAATAGTCCATAGATGCTAAAGATTTTATTTATGGTCATTTAATATGATTTAACCCCTTACCGCATACTATTAACTTACTTTTTAATTATTTTTCTTGTTTATTCTCTGTCTCTCCTTGTTAGAATGTAAACTCCATGGGGGAAGGGATCCTATTCTGTGTTATCAAAGATCTATCCCAAATATCTTGAATAGTGCTTGGCACATAGTAAGTGCTCAATTAATATTTGTGACAAGAATTCATGGAAAAAAAATTATCTGTGATGTCATTCTGCTCTTTCAGATGACAACATTTAACATATAATCCTTTTTGAGTGCTTAATGTGTTCCAGACATTGTCTTAAGTACCTTATATGGATTATCTCATTTGTTCTTCAAGTCAACCCTTTAAAGATGCTACTAGTCTCATTGTCATTTTACTGTGAGAAAACTCGAGTTTGTAGAGGTGAAGGACCTTGCTTAAGGTAATACTGATAGCAAATGGCAGTTTCCACAAGCCCAGGCAGTCTGAGTCCATGGCTCACATTCTCATCAATTATAGCATACATTTTAAAGGTAGTTTCTGTTTTGTCAAACCAAAGAGTAATTCTAATGGTGCAAAATTTACGCTAAAAGGAAAGGAGAGTGACACATGGCAGGCCATAAAGCAAGATATTTCCTAAGGAGAAAATTCTTAGGTTATGTCCTCCCACATGTTCCATCAAAGCAAGACCATCTAATGAGACTCTACAACCTGGTATACCATGAGAGCTGACTTTTATTGTCAATAATAGAATCTGAACGTTTTCCAACTCTTTTTAACTCTCAATATTTTCCTCTCCTTGCCTTTTTCAACCCCGTCTCTTGATAAGAGATTGGACAGATAAGCCCTTTGGAGAAGGTATGTGATCAGCCTGGTACTTCACCAGGGCTAACCGGGGAGTGCAGTGATAAACTAAGAGAGGGAGGCAGGCGCACAGTGACATAGCCATTGCTTGGTCCAGGGGGGCGGTGTTTGGAGGAGAGAGTGCAGAAGGGAAGGATGACACTGTGGAGTTACAGGGCATAGAATTTGCCAAATATCTGGAGATGGAATAAAAGAGTGAGGGAAACCTCAAATGTGACTCTGAGGGAAACTTTCAAAGCACGAATAACTGGAAAAATGGTGGTGACATTAACAGAGGAGCAGGATGGAGAAAATATGTTTTCATTATGATGTTTTCTTGAAATGCTGAGTCAGATTTGCCACCTGTGAGGGTGGAATAAGGACATTTTCAGACATGCAAAGTCTCAGAAAATGCAGCTCCCATGCAACCTTTGACAGAAAGCTTCTAACTGATGTGCTCTGCCAAAAAGAGGGAATAGACCACAAAAAGAGACATGAGATCTGGGAAACAGGGGATACAACCCAGGGAAGAGGTGAAGTGAATCCCCTACATTGGAGCAGGTCAGAAGGCTCCAGGAGAGATTTCAATAGTATAAATTTGATGAAATATCTAATACACTTGTATATTTTGAGAGGAGATTTATCCAACAAGGAGAGTTAATTAATTGAATTATCAATTAGTATATGGAAAATTGGAAATGAAAACATTAAATCTAGAGTAAACAAAAACTTATACAAGAAAGTATAATTAGTCAGTACACTGCAAGGTTCAGTTGGGAATGGATTTACATAGTATTATTACTGTAAACATCAGATGATAATCTAAACACAAGTTTGTTCTATTAGGAGAATGGGAGGAGGAAAGAAGGAGGAAGTGATGTGTAGAAGTGAGGGCAAAAAAGAGTTAAATCTTCATTTTCTTTACCAAGAAATCAAGAAATAATGACTAAAGCAAAAAAACAAGAGACATTGTAAATAAGTTATTTAAAGATATGCAGGTAAAGCAAAAGAATCAGCTAAAAGAATTGAAAGAATTTGCCTCTGGGATAAAGGGAAAGGTGTGTGTGTTAGGGGGGTGGGGTGATTTTTTTAAAACATAACAAACCTTGTAGAATTGTTGGAATCTTTAAAATATCTGTATATGTAACTTTAATGAAAAATAAAAATGAAAGTTTGAAAGAAGGCAGAGGAGAAGGGTTTCGTCTTAGCAAGATGGATGGATGATTCCAATTAAGGGTAAAGATAATGCAGATAAAGGAAGTAGAAATTAGGAAACTTTAGGGAATTTGACTTCAGATTATCTCTTACTTTACCAAAAAGAAAATGAACTAATGTCTTCTGCTGAAAGTCAAAGCAGTTGAGTATTAGAAAATGGTTGGATTGTGACAGAGAGGGAAGAAGACATGTATAAAAGGATTGCCAAGCGTCGGTAGAATCAGCCTGACATTAGATAACCTGAATTTGTAGGGTACTTTGTCAGTGAAAATTCATGGTTTGCTGTAGCAACTGCAGTCTATGAATGAAATAGCCAATAGTGAACTTGGTGGCTTATTAAGAGTCAGGAAATAGTGAAGGTGAACTAAAGGAAAGAAGAGATTCTAGGTTGTTCCCAGTTCCTTAGTAATTAGAGAGGCAAATGAAGCCAAATTTGGGGAACATCAGGGAAATTAGGAGAGATCAAGAGACTGGAGATTATAATTAGCAAAAAGAAAAGAATAAGAAAAGAGATGTGAGATGGATGTCAAAGATGGGAACTGCGAAGTTTGAGACTGTAGTATAGAACTTCTTCAAGCAGCAATGAGGTAGGTGAGCCCTCAGTCCAAACAGGCAGCCAGCATCAAGCAGGTCAATAGCAACAGGTGACACTGATGCAGCCACTAGGAGTCTGCATCCCTGAGGCAGGAACTCGGTCACATTGGCCTGAGGGGCAAGGTGGAGATGGAAGACCTCCCAGTGAACCAAAGTACCGATGTCTTCCCAAGAAAAGCACAACCACAAATGCGTTCACTAGAATTTGGTACAGGCAAGCAACTCCACTCAAGTCCTGTGCTCACGTTGTGCTCGGAGTGCATTAATGCACTGCAAGCAGTTAATTGATCAAAGCGTGCAGCTTCTGAAATATGCAGATAAATTAGGAAGGAAAATTGAAACTTTGTTATGTGATTTTTCTTAATGATTAGAGTGTGTTATAAATAAACAGGAAAACAAATTGATTGCCAAAAACCATGTTAATGCCCTTTTAATTCACAAGGGTTAAGTACATAAAAGTCAGGATATTGAAAGTTAAGGTTCTTATTGAAACACTAATTTGACAGCATTATGCATACTAGGTGTGGGAGGTTTATATTTTATAGCATGAAAGCAGTACGAAATATTGCAAAATGTGGCTCACTTAAATAAAATAAAATAAATTCAGAGGAAAGTCATTAACCATGATTATGGAAAAAAATTGTTTTGCAACCGCCAAAGAAGGGTTATAAAATTTAATTTTAGAAAATAATGCCTTCAAATCTTAAAAAATGTTTTCAATGCAAATTATTCATTTTTACCAAAAATCAATTTTCCTAGCACATTGTATATTCTGACATTAATTTATGCCTCTTATTTGTAGTCTGGATTTAATCCTAATAGACCACAAGGAGAACTCACTGGCTATTTTCATGGCCTAGTTGATAAATATTTCAAACAGTGAAAATAAAATGTAGGGATTCGAAATACTTTTTGTTTAGTTTATAGAGAATATGGAGGAGATTGTAAATGTGAAGAAGCCTGCCCATGTACTATCACCTTGCTAATATATTTGCCCTCTGTATATTTCTGGATACTATTTGTGTGTATGCATTATGGGAATTCCAATCTGAACATGCAAAATGTCTTAAGTAGGTGGCATAGAAAAAGAAAAGAAGCAGCTTGAGGCGTGTTCAAGGCTGGAAGTGTACCAGAAAACAAGCCCACAGCTTTTCATACGTCTCATTTTGGTTCCCGCCTTATGAACTGGTCAGCGGGTCTGGAGCCTGAGCTCTCCAGTAGAGCTGTACTGAGCCACAGGCAGATGCTCCTGTCACCTGGGCTACAGAAGCTCCATTCACTCTACAGGTGATGCAGGAAACAGGAGTGGTGGACCCCTGCAGACCCCTGGGAGTGTGTCACCTCGCAGTTCAGTCAGAATTAAAGGCAATAAGGAAGGAAGTAAGAAGGAAGGAAGGAAGAAAGAAAGGAAGGAAGGAAGGAAGGAAACTATCTTACTAGCATTATAATTCTAACTCAATTATAATAATTACTCAATTCCATTATTATTTAATTTTTTATTTTTAAGTAATAGTAAAGATTTTGTGATCCTTTAAATCAAATGTGTTATTATTTGGTGCAAACTTAACAAATGAAAACCAACAGTCCCCACCCCACCCCACCCCCAAAGGAGCAGATCATGAAAATTTAAAGATAAATTGACATTTTGCTAACATTTCTATTCTCCATTGTATTTTATGTCATAGCAAAGCAGTCTCCAGAACAATAGAGGTCCATTCATGGAAGTGAGATATGTAAATTCCTGAGCCAGCAGACTCCTGTCCCAATGTTCAAACCACCTCTTCACAAAGGACACAATGGTCTGCATTTTTCACTGAAAAATCTATGCAGCCACATTCCATGGCAATGAACTCTTTATAAGCTTGATGAAGAAAAATGCTTTGTATATTTACTTTAGTCATTACCCCTTGCTATTTTCTGTTTCCAAACAAACAGAAGGACAAATGCAGACTGCCAACTCGCAGGATGTACAAACAAGTGTTATTGAATATTCAGAAATATTGTGGTATTTCTAAAGTTCAACAACAAATCACTTAGAGTCTTTCTTTTGTTTCTAATTTTCCTTATTCAGGCACCACAAGGCCACATAAGGAGGGTGAGGTCCCTGGAGTGGACTATATTTTCATCACCGTTGAAGATTTTATGGAATTGGAGAAAAGTGGTGCCCTCCTAGAAAGTGGGACTTATGAAGGTAAGCATGACTCGACTGCTAATCTATTCCTTGTTGCATCACATTTTTCTCCTTTAATTGAAATGCATTAGGACACCACCTTACTGTTTTTGGTTTGAGAGCTTTAATAAGGTCATTTTAGAAATGTATTTCCTAAAGAAAGGTTAAAATACTTCTGGATTAGTTCTACTCTTAAGATGCCGAGAAAAATGTATATGTATATTCCCACGGAAGTATCCTTGTGATTGCCTCCTAAGGCTAAGCTGTAATCTTCCAGATAAATTATCTTCATCTTCAGGTAGCATCTAAGAGAGCCCAGGGCTTGAGTTCTAGTCCCGTCAGTATCTCTGTGTGGTTTTCTCCAGTTACTTCACTTTGCTGGCCTTCCCTTGCCTTCCATACAAAATGATAGAGTAGGAAAATGTGATCTGTGTGTGAACACTAAAGCTCTACCACAATTAGCAAGACTCCTTGTGAGTCAAAGATGAACAACAGATGAAACTAACACCTTGAATGTGGGAAGGATGTTGCCGTGGAAAGAGCACTGTATATGAGCCGGAATCTGCCTCAGTTCCAAACCTGGCTTTATTATTTACCCGCTATAAATGTTAAGTAACCCAGTTAGCATCTCTGAACCTCAGTAGTCTTAGCTGTAAAAGGGGAATGATAGCATTGAAAATTATAAATAAATAACATGTTGACATGATTGCATTTATATGCTTACGTAACATCTACATGCATATAGTTTGTCTAATGAAATTATATACCTGTGTATGTATAATGAAATTTTAAAATAATATAACTACAAAATAGTTGAAAATAATACTTTTATCCCTACTTCTCAGTTATTATATGTATAAACTATATTTATATGTATTATTTTTAAGTCCAAAGATGAATCTAGTTTTACTGAACTGCAATTAATAATGAGTGATAGTGAAAACAAAATTCATGACATACACATTGCTCCTTAGCCCATCAAATGTCTGGGATCTGCCATCAGCAAACAAGCTGGTTTGTTAACAGTTTGGCACTCCACTTCCGCCTTCATTTACCTGTGGATGTGAAGTGGACTACAGAACTCAGTATTTTTAAGTTGTTAGAAGTATTAAAATCTCTTCTTTTACTTCACACTCCTAAGGCAATTTAGGCTGGGACATATGCCTAAGTTATGGCTGAGACATTTAGTTTTGTATTGCCACATTTATAGGAAATAGGCAAAACTACCCAGGAAAAGAAAACAGTTTCATACATGAGTGTTGTTTCTTCTTAATATTGTCAAAAAAAAAAAATGATAGTGGAGATTGATTGAAAATATTTTAAATAAAGAAGGTGTGTTGATCATATAAGCTGCCTTAAATTATATATGAAAAATAACTGTTTAAATTATAGAAAATAATTATATCAAAGAAGTCAGAGTGAATAAACAATAAATTTTGCAGTATATTTTTCTATGGGCTTTGTGACATTATTTCGTGGCATTTATTAGTTTGCCTGTCTGCCAATAATAATGTATTTTATTTAATTACTTTATTTAAATATCTTATTTATGTAGCAAAGAACCAGTGGCTTAACATACAGGAGCATTACAAGAGTAGTATGATTAACAATGTGACCTTTTCTTTTTGTCTTTAAAAATAAAGACTGTTTTAACTGTATAGAAGGTGAAAAAATTAAAACAAATGTTCATGTTAAATTTCCAGTATTCTTGGGATAAACTAGATGTCATGAGATTTAATATCAACATTTTAAACTATAGCCTAGGTTAAATTTTAAGTTCCAGTTAAATTTTGAGGAAAATATGCTGAAAGCATAGAAACATAACCAAGTTTTGTGAGCCAGGGTGGGTTGTCCTGAATCTTCTTCAGACATCTTTTCAGCATTGAGTTTAGTTTGCTAAATTTGGTGCCAACTTGTTAATCGCCCCAGCATACAGAGAGCTGATCCTTGAATGATAAGGCTGATTTACATCTGTGACTTTGGGAAATCAATACCATTGTTTACAAATACACACTAGGTACTTAAATAAATAAGAAGCCCTTTTCTGAGGTCACATAACCATCTGGGTGGACACCTAGGGAACCCTCTCAAATCTTAAGATCTTCACATTTTCCTACAGTTAGAGTTGAAGTAACAGTAGAATTGACATTCTAATAAAAATCACTGCTACTCCTTCAAATTGATCATAAACTAGAGTCGGGGCAACCACTTAATGTGTTATTTGTCAAGGAAACCTCAAGAATGCCTTTTCTGCTATTTGTGCTTTCAGAATATATAGAGTAACAATCATGTGCTACTCAACTAGACAAAGAAAGACCTGAGAGCTTTAATATTTGTCAAACTCTCATGATATCAATCTCTCATAAGGTTTCTTTAATAAAATCCCAGTTTGTCTGTTATATGCTCTCCCTTCTGCAGTGTTTTGGCCATAGCTCCCTTCCCCTCCTCCTTACGAGAACATTCTCATGCCTTCTCAGTAGTCTTTAGAACCCTCAGCCAGGCAAGAAAATTCATCTCTGTTATCTGTGAATACACTAAAGAAATTAAGAAGAAATTGAGTTACTCTCAGCATTCAGGTTACAGACCTGTTAACCATGTGGTGTCCTTAAGACTGCTTCCAACCCACAAACCAGAACATCAAAGCTGCTAATGCAACTGGAGGTAGGGAGATAGCCTCTGCTTCTTATTGCCCATAGTGCTTCCCAACTTGGTGTATTTCTTCTTAGAGACTGTGAACCTGTTCATTTTTTATTAGCAAAGATCAAGGAAGTCCTCTATAAAATGTCTAGTTAAGCTGCTCATCATTGAGAAAAGCAGCCTTTTAGCATTCCTGTGCTTCTCCCCCACCACTCAGTTTCAGAACAGGAAACGCCCATCTGAAAAGCAGTTATGAGGAAGAATATATTTTTTTAAGCATTTCTCATACATATACATTTTTGTCTTATTGTCAATAATTCTAATTTTAATCCTGGTGAATATCGGTAGCTAAAATGGAGTTTGTCCTTTGATTAGAAACGAGATGGACTGTTTTTAATTGCAGTTCTGCCTCTTAGAAATTGGCTCAAAGTCCTTGCTCCAATTGAACAATCCTATTACTTACCAGAGGCTGCAAGGAAGGCCCTAATGTGCTTGAGTTACCATCTACAGATATGCCACACGTCCCTAGGCAAAATTTTAGCACATTCTTAAAGACTTTTTCTGCATCACTAACCCCTCACCCAGTCTAAGCACCTTATTTCAGTTTACTATACAACAGCTGCTGGATCACCTTGCATGTAAATGACCCAGAGGACTTGGTTCTGATGAACCATCTGATATTGGTAAAGAGAGTCTTTCCCATGACTTGCATGATCTCATCCTCACCTTTTCCTATTCAGTCAAGTTTAAAATTAAGTTAATAGAACAAGGCCCAGTGGTGATCCTGACAGAACTTCAAGTAACACAAAGGACACTGTGAACCTTCATGTCAGGACTGAAGGTGTAGGCTTCATGTGAAACACAGACCACAGAGCTCTTTGGATGAATGCAGGTAATTCCTTTGGAATTAAGGTCACATGCAGGTATAAGTGAGACACCAAAAGGTAGAATTAAATGAGTAGGTCTGGTAATCTAAAGGTTAAGTAATCCACGTACCTGGAAGGAAGTAGTGTCCTTGGGAACTGTCCAAAGTGCTGAATAACCCAGGGCTCTAAAGCAGTGAATCCTGCCTGACCTACTTCTTCCGGTTGTCTGGAATGTTACATTCATGATTTCACTGACCACTCACACTAGTTGTCTGCCTCGTCATTAACTAACCCCATGTCCGCTGAGCTATGCCTGGATTCTCATTTCATTTAATCCATCTGCTGACATCATCCACAGTCACGTTCCAGAGCAGCACTCTGTTTAACATACCCTACTGTATTTTGATGTTGTGCTTTTAAATTGAAAGAAAGCTATTTTTCTATCTATTGAAGAAGCTATTGATCTTAAGGGTAAATATTTCCTTTGAATGGGCATAAGCTCAATTGTAATATTGCCTGGATTTTTAAGAAGACCAAATTAAGACCAGCAAATTATTTGGGCATCTGACAGAATATAGTGCGAATGTGGCACTCACTTTCACCTTAATGCTGTGGTTCCTCATAATCATTTACCTTATTATGTATGGACTTCAGCCTGCTGCAAGCAGCTCACCTAATTTCTTTTCTTTTTTTATTTTTGTGAGGAAGATTGACCCTGAGCTAACATCTGCCAATCCTCCTCTTTTTGCTGAGGAAGACTGGCTCTGGGCTAACATCCATGCCTACCTTCCTCCGCTTTATATGGGACGCTGCCACAGCATGGCTTGACAAGCAGTGCGTCAGTGCGCGCCTGGGATCCTAACCGGCAAACCCTGGGCCACCACAGCGGAGCGCACACACTTAACCTCTTGCGCCACCGGGCCGGCCCTCACCTAGTTTCTTAAACAATTTTACAACAAGGACTGTGAAATTCAAGTTTTCTCCCATCTGCACAAAAAAGACTGCTGTCCTTCCTGGTGTAGAACATAAAATTCTATAAAAATTTAAGTATTTTTTTTTTATAATTTTATTTATTTATTTATTTTTTCCCCCAAAGCCCCAGTAGATAGTTGTATGTCATAGTTGCATATCCTTCTAGTTGCTGTATGTGGGACACGGCCTCAGCATGGCCGGAAAAGCGGTGCGTCAGTGCGCGCCCGGGATCCTAACCCGGGCTGCCAGCAGTGGAGAGCACGCACTTAACCGCTAAGCCATGGGGCCAGCCCAAAAATTTAAGTATTAACCCCAAGTAATATTCTAGGAAAATAAGTCAAGCACTCCTATGATGAAAGAAAAGATATGACAAATTTAACATAACCCTATTTCATTTTACTAAAATCAACATCAGTTGTTTTTTTTTAGCATGACCTCCATGTGTTTATTATTGAAATTTTGAATCTCTGTTCTTAATCAAGATAGCATTGAGTCATAAAGAGATACTCCATCCTAAGAAAAATCATTATTGGTACTATAAATAGT